AGTCTAACACTTTTTAATGTGTTTCTTGTGTTAATTTTGTACATTATCTGATTAGCATTAGCCTTTTCAGAGAAGACAGGCACAGGAAAATCATCAAACGGTTTGATTGTCTTTGTAATGTCATTTCATGGTTTTCTTTTCCTGCTGGGCAACAGATGAACTAGTTCCTAGAATTTCCTTTTATCCTTGCTTCTAGAATGTCACTTTTTATCCTTAAGATTGATTGCTAATTGTACTGTATTTTTTGCTTTTGCATTTATGCATTTCTCCCTGCATAAGTTTTACGTTTGTTTGCTTTTCTGTTTGTCCTTCATATTCTGAGTTAAATTTCACTTCCTCCATACTTCCTTTTCTGAGTTTCAGTTCATTAAAGAATTCATGCTTGAGTCTTGTTGCTTCTTTTTCTACACTTTCTGTGTTTTTACTTAGCATGGCTTCTGCTTGGCCAGTAGTGTGCTTTCTTTAAGGAATTCTCATTTCACCTGAAAAACTGTTTTCCTTACAGTTCTTTTCTATGAGATATTTCATATCAATTGTCTGAGTTTATTAACAACTCTTTTCATACATAGTTTTTGTTCTGTCACTGTCTCTGCTTCTCAAGAATTATTCAATGATCCTTGTCATTTAAATTGCTTTCAACTTTCATGTTTTCAGTCAGGTCTTTGTTCTTGTCAGTACTACATCTAGAAGATCTCTCCTTGAGTCATTTGCCTATCTATTGTTTGAAGTTTCTGTCAAAACATCCTAGTAGTTTCTTTGGACAATTTATTTCATGTTACATTCCTTGTTAATTGTATGAAGATCAGTTGTGTACTTTTTTAAAATATGCCCGTAACCTTATTAATTTCAATAGAAGTATATAAAAATAGAATCTCAGCAGAGTCTTGGTTCAGTAATTTGTTTTATTTAGGGGGAAAAAAAAGTGTAAGAGGCAACAGGGGAACACAGTTCTTTTAAGAGCAAGAGATCTCCCTGCTTTCTCCCTTGCATTTTGGGTGAAATTTTATATCTTAAAGTTCCAGTTTTATACAGATAATGCTTAAATCATGGGACACCTCAAGATAGATGTTTACATCAGGAATGCTGACAAATCCTTATTAAAGCTGTCAGATGCTTGTAGAATGAAGTGCCTTTAACCCCACTGAGTGCTGATGTGGAGATTTAGGGCTGTATGAAATTTGTTAAGTTACCCTGGAGAGTTTATCTGATTATTCATTAAGACTTGTATTTGGTGCAGTAATTGCATTTACTACCATTTATCTTACCTTAATTGGTGCTTATTTTTTTATTGTAAAAAATGAAAAATGTCTGTCTAAAACATGAGCAAAGATTGAGTTGTGTATTTAATCTATCAAATACAACTTGAATATTGGTGCCATGTGGTAGTCTAAAACTCTACCTATTGTTTTTTGTCTTTTTCCTTCAGCTTTGTATTTGAGGAAGGTTAACCTATATTGAGAAACAGATGTACAAATCCTATATTTTGCTACATGTTGTTTCTTCCCATAATTATGAATATTCTGCCAATCATTTTAATTTGTTTGCTGTTCTGTTTGCACATCACTTTATGCAAAAAAGTCATATTGTAATTTAAATTAAATATAAGAAGATAAATGTTTAAGGAAAATAAATTCAGTTTTCATGGAATGGATATCATAGTATTTGTTTTTTGAATTAACTTTTTTTCTGGTTTTGCTGCAGTCTTATAAATGGCAGCCTATAACTTGAGGCAACAGAACAGTAGGTGATTTCACTGACTTTTTCCTCCCCCTGTGGGTTTTCTATACTTTACCTAACAAAGCATTGAGAAAACAGTTAAAATACTTGTGTAAAGAAAAGTGTAAAACCTAATACTTAAAAGTATTTGATTGATGTTTGGGGTTTGAATTAATATTTTTTTTTCCAGTTGCCAAAGCACATGGTTTCTGCATTTTAAGAGTCTTACAATGTCCATCCAAACAATGCATTTGATGTTAATGTATAATGTAACTTGTTAAGGAGCACGTTTAAATTTAGTGTTTATATGAATTCCTTGAAGATATGTTGATGGTGTTTACAGTGTCATTTTTTCAAATAAAAATGAGAAAGAGGGTCTTCTGACTAACTTCAGTTTGAAGATAAATAAAGACAGATATAACCAAAAGCTAAAAGGATTCTACTTTTCATTTTAGTTTTTTGTACAGGGAGTGGTATCACGACAGTGTACGACTTCAGGTTGAAAAGAAAGGTGTGGGGGCACTCATTATCCATTCTGTCTTTTTAATTTTTACAGGAAGAGCCATATGTTATGTTCAAGAAGTCTGACAAACCCTTGTACGGAAATGATCGATTTGAAGGTTATTGCATAGACCTCCTCAGGGAGCTGTCTACTATCCTTGGATTTTCCTATGAGATTAGACTGGTGGAGGATGGAAAATATGGAGCCCAGGAAGATGCCAGCGGACAGTGGAATGGAATGGTTCGTGAACTAATTGATCATGTAAGTCAATTTCTGGATGCTTTCTACTATCCATTTAGATTTCAATTCTATCTATACAAATTGTAAAACTTTTATGATGACGCCATTTGAATAGTACTGTTTTGGAAAGTGCAGATGTTTAAAGAAGTAATGTAAGCAGATTCACATCAATGGTTTCTATAATGTAGAATTTGTTTGTTATATGAAGACTATTCTGCACCTCTGTTTTGCCTATAGGCAGTGTTTGTTTCTGCCAAACTGGTTTAGCTCTTCTGTGGCATATACCTAAGTCAAAATATGGAATAGATAGTATTCAGAATTTATTTGTGGGAACAAATATCTATTTTTTTGTGACAAAACATATGTCTTCATTAATCAATAGAAGGCGGGCCTTTTCTGATAGTGGATCTGAGACTTTGTCTTGGAGCAATTTCTGTGTATGTAGTGTAAACACATAAATTATTTGATATACACAAAAAGGAAGAACATCTTTCTTGAAACTAACAATAAAGTGCAAGCAGTAGGACAAAAATATCAAAATATACTGAAGCAGCAAAGTAATGCAATGTGTGTCAAAACAGATACCATTGCAATTACTTGTAAATGAGTAAGGCAGGCATTACTTTGTGTCCTTCAAAGTATACTTTCCCAGTTGGTCATGCCAGTTGAATTCAGTCTCTTAGAAATATTTTAGTAAATTTGAAAATTACGTCATTGTCCCTTTTTACATTTGTTTGGGCGAATTGCTCGATATAGAGACATTTGATCAGAGAATGAGATAAAACATACTCTGCACATCACTGTCATTTAAAATAGGAAGAAGGGGAGAATATTTTATAGCTAATTGAAGTGAAACCTCCTAATAATGGCAGAAACTGCATGAATAACTTGAAGAAAAATATTCACTAATCTTGTTTCAATTTGCTTTAAGATTTCTGCAGATGGGCAGAACATGTGCTAATCAAAATATTCATATTTACTAGAAGGGTTGTTATCTTTGTGCTTTTCTAGTAAATAACAATCTCATATAGCTGTTGCAACAGATGTTGATTTTGCCTAGCTTCACACTTTTAAGAAGAACGAGTGGGAGTATTATATTTATATTATCTTTAAATGTGTGTATGTATTACACCTAGTACACATACATAGAAAGCAAACAGATATTTAGCTAGACTCTCTGTCCATCTCTATACATGCATATTTTCATACATGTATAAATGCATAGGCATGCATAGCTATTAGATTTTATGGTTGTTAGGTACTATCATAATCTGGAAATAATTTTCCATGATTGGGGTGAATATTGTGGAAGTATTTCTTATATAATTCTTCAGAAACAAAGAAAAATCATATTTTGGTATGGTTTTATTATCCAGTCCTAAAGCTTTCTTGAACAAGCACTAGTATGGCCTCCTAAGCTTTTCACTAAGATAATCTTGAAATAAAATGCATTTGAAGAAGTTGCAGCAGTTAAGTATGTGGAACAGGAGCTTTTCCAATCCTTTCCACTTGATAACACAGAATGGAACATGTGTTCCTTTTTCCCATAGATAACATATAACTAAATTTAGATTAAAATTTATTTTGGCTTTTGAAAGGATGTTTACTTAGGAGGCAAAAAAGTTTAGATACTATGCTTAGTGTATCATGGAAGATGCAGTCTAACTTCTTAACCTGGATCATAACTTTTACTAGTCTCTCTCAATTTCTCAATTGTTAAAATTTTCCTTTAAAATTTTCTCTGTTTTTATCTATTCTTATTTTGAAATCTATTTGAATACATGCAATTTATTTATGCATCTGTGCCCTTTATTTGCATGCATGTTATTGCTATATTTTATTAGCAAGCAACACTTCAGACCTCAGAACTCATGCACAAGAATTTAGAGAATTCCAGATAGATAGTTACCACACTTGATGTTTCCATATGGTTACTTCACTTGGCCCATTAGCTTAGCTTTTTAGTCTTTCTTTTCCCTTAGAGAATATTTTTTAAAGTGTCAAAAAGGTTTTGTTTTGTATGAAGTAATGTAATAAACTCAATATTTCATTTGGAAAGGCGAAATGTTTCTGTCTAAATTTTTCAACGTGAGTTTCTAATTAAAATAAATACACTACAGAATAAAGACAAATTTCTGAAAGTTGCCATAGTACTTACATCTATTTGAAACATAATTTTAGAATTTATTTTATTTTTATCTGCTTGTTGTATTTTAACTGTCAGTCACTTAAATTCAGAAAGAAAGGATACTATAATATATATCTTTACAAGGGTATTTTGTAGCATTTGTAATTCAAGAATAAATAAAATGGATAATTTCTGTATATAATGTGTGTACAAAGGAAGATGCACAATTCATATAAAGATAAAAAGTACCAAATAGAATCTAAATTTTTAAATAAACTGTTGAAATCTGTGCTTAGTCACTTTACATAATTGCTTGGACTCAAAAGTGTAAGTGAAATGAAGATAATGTTATCTGAACTGAGCTCAGCATATCATGTCAGTCTCAGGCTTGAAATTCTAGAGTGTGAAGAGAGACTCAAGCCTTTACATCAGGCTTTGTGTGTTTTCAGTCTCCTTTCCCATAGTTTGCTCGCATTTCTTCTTTCTTTGACTGTTTTACTCAATGTTCACATATGCCATCATTCTGATATTGGTCTCCAAACAATGACTAGTTTCCTTTTAAATAAATGATAAATACTGAAAGTGAAAAATGAGTTCAATATCTCTTCCCTTTAACAACTGAGTGATAATGAATTCTTGTTGGAAAAGACAGTGGTCTCTATAGCTTCAAATGGAAGAGAAATATTCACTAAGACAGCAAATACAGATGAGATTTCCCTATGAAAACATTTTAAATTGAATTTCTCTAGTTAAGCAGTCTGATTTCTTTGCCACAATTTCTCATTCAATATTTTATCCTCCTCTCTGGTTAATTCAAGACAAGGGTGCTAGATATTTGGGGGAGGCGGAGCTAAAATCCAGGTATCTCCATCCTTTATGGTTGCATTCTTCATGAAGAAGTATTCTTTATACTGACTTGTTGCCTTTGGTTCAAGAACTTTATTCAAGGATAGATTTATTGAACTGGTTTTGAACTGAATTATAAATTCTGGAGATTTCAGGTTGTTCTGTGGTGCTAAAAGTTGTTACAGCACTGTATTAAATTGTATGAGATATATAGTGTGAGTGTGTAAGTTATGTTCCTCTATAGTTAGTAGATAATGATAGAATAAAAATATATAATTTTGCTTTTTTTCTGTTAGACATTCTACTTTACAGCTCCAAAATTAATTCTAAACATTCTTATCACTGGGTTCTAAAACAGGCAAAAATTACTATTTTATACTTTCTCAGAGATATAAATGAAAGTGAAAAATCCACTAGGAAGTAATTTGTTATTATTATATACCATTAAAATAACCTTTTTTTTTCTTGGCTCTTTCTTTGAATGATTCTTCTACAGCACAAAGCTTATGCATTACAAATAGACTTTAAGACTTGCAGATCTTTTATGATTCATAAATAATTATAGAAAAGGTCCAATTTTTGGATCATGATTGTTCTTTTATTATACGTGTGGATTAAATGGGAACTTTTCTTTGTATCTGAGAAGAGCAGGATTTGCAGCTTGGAGGAAGCTAAGACTTACAGAGTTGGGCAATTGGAAAGCACTACTGAATTTGAATTTTATTGAGACATAGCTTTGTGTTTTACTTCAGCATCTTTTGAATTTTTTAAAATCAATATCTTACTAATAAATGCTTACATACAAGATGCTTACATTTATAAAAATAGTGGCCCTTTATTTCTATGAAATAGAATAGTTTCAGATGTTTATATAATCAGTTTAAAATGTTTCTGGAGATGTCTTCTTCCAATAACTTGTTATTTTTTTCCTTTTTTTTTTTTTCCTAATTTAAGGTCCTTATGTTCTTGAAGGACTAGAGCCAAGATCATTGTATTACTGTATAGAAGTGAAAAAAAGCTTCCAATAAACAACTATATAGATTTTTGTTTGCATCCTTTTTGAGACAAAGAAAAATTTACACGAGTAAAGGAATTTAAATTTCTTCCATCTTTTTCTTTTATGTTCTTCCCCTTTTCAAATGTAGTTTCATCACATTATTTGGACTGTCTCTCTTTTCTTCATTCTTACAGCAAGTCCTGCTGTATAGAGCCTCATAAGGAAAGGCTCAGGAGCTTCTCTTGCCTCTTCTCAATGATAGATGCAGTCTTCCTCCTTGTAACTTCCATGCAAAAGGTCTGGCAGTTGAGATTTTCAACACAGTGCAGGACAGTTTAGCCATGCCTCTTTCATTAACCAAAATCTCAGAAAATTTGGCAGTAGCAGGGAGTTAGAGACTCTTTAGTGGAAAGAAAGATCGAGCATTCTGTCTTTTTGCACCAATATTATATGTGCTGGACAATAAAACCTGTGGTCTGTCAGTGCTCTTTAGAACACCATATCTGCTTTATGGCTGCCTCATTGTATTAGTGAAAACACTGGTCTGATGTCGACATTTTCAAGGCTATGTATAACACTTAACTCCTACTTTTTTTTTCAAATGATGCTCCTAAGTTAATGTACTGACACTTACTCATATGCTACTACTTATTGAACATTATTATTAGACCATTTTCAAAATATTTGTCCACAGAGGATCACTGGATTTTAACATCTTCATTTAATGATAATTATTTTTTTTTTAATCAAATAGAATGCTACATCACCTCTTCCTTTCTGTATTTCTCAGAATAAGTTAGTTGTTTTTTGCAAAAGTCCTTAGACTTTTGCTAAGGGCCGCTGTGCTAGTCATCATCATCAGGTTCAAATAATACGAATGTTTTGCAGGACAGCCTATTTAGTAAACCACAGACAGAATATCAGTAGTGACTTTAAAAACGTGTTTTGTCTTACTTATCTGAATCTGGAAAATTCAGGACTTTGACACAGTGGTTTATCTCTCTTCCTTTGTGGCCAAAATTTATGACTGTGAACTGTCATTCATTTCAT